GGGTTACTTGCCCCTTCTTCTCAGCCTCTGGTGTTGGCCACTGTCAGAGACAGGGTACCTGACTAGGTGGACCATGAGTCCAATCTGATATGGCAGTTCTTATGTCCCAAATAGTAATACATAGCTCTCCTATATCATTAGATTGGATGGCTTGGAAAGGCAGAGGCTTGTTTGGTTGTGTTGTGTTTGAGTGAGTTGGTTGTAACCTTTTGAAACTGAAACTTATTTATGTGAATGCAGTAATCTCTCTTCTTTCCGTGGCTAAGACTTGAGTAGAAAGAACCATTTCAATGCTAAGTTTATCCTTCAGATTTTCCTATTCTCTTTTTATTCCTTTGTGTTGCAAATATTAGCATTTTCTGTTTTAAAAACTTGATTTCCTTCAATCTGTTACCTATGCAACAAAGTAAATATTTGCAATGCATTTTGACAAACAAAAATAACATATGACAATATGATTTATCAAAACAGATTCAATACCCAATTCCACTGTTCGGAGGTATCTAATTCGGAACTAGAAAAGGCAGAAATCAATGAATCAGGTGGTTGCTATCGGAACACATTTCATTCAATGTAAGGCTTATATAGTAAAATACGTACTAATCAGATTATAGACATCTTTATTCCAAGTAGCGCCTCTGGAATCTGGTGATGTCCTCTGTCTTCAGTCACTGTACCTCCTCAGTCAGTGATCTATACTGAATTTTCTAATATGTACACAAGTACTCCTCAGCAGCGTATTCTTAGGCCAGGTCTAATTTTGTCCACATAGTAATGTTGATTAGGGTTCTTTTACATATTTATGCTAGCATTTTCTTTCACTAACCAAACTGGTAGAAGCTACACCAGCAAAAGTACATTTTTGCCTGTATAAGCTCTGTCTGCATTAGGAGGATTTTGGTGATATAGCTCTATTGCTACAACTTTTGAAATGTAGACTAGGCCTTAGAAAATCTCCACTAAACATAGCCAGGGACTTTGAGGGGAGAAAATGCAACCTTCGGCCCAATGCAACTAAACAAAGATTTTCGTCCAAATCCTTCATTTAGTGTTACTGTTGGAAGGCTTGTTTGCATCTCCTCCAAGTAGTTGTTTGACTGTTGATGCAAGTGAGAAATGATTATTGAATCTACTTAGCTATGAGATGGTTTTCAGTTTTCCTCTTCTTTGCTCACTTACTTTTCAATTCCATTGAGTATTTTCTCAAGTTTGCTCTTTAACTAATTTTATACTTCCTTAGCTCTGAGAACAGTATCTCTGTATTGGATCTTGAGTATATATATTCTACAGCACATGAGCACAGTGAGACCAAGAGCAAAATGCAATCTGAGTCCACAACATTTATTTATAACTAAGGCTAAGTTTTTGTCAGGGATATTTTTAGTAAAAGTCATGGACAGGTCACAGGAAATAAACAAAAATTCACGGCAGCCCGTGACCTGTCCCCGACTTTCACTAAAAATATCCCTGACAAAAGGGGTAGGTGGGTTCAGCACCCACTGCTGCTGGGGCTCCCGGGTCCCACACGGATGCCGTGTGTGGGAGCTCTGGGCTCCTTCTACCCCTGGGGCTGGGCTGCTGTGGGGTCCTCTCGCTCCAGGCAGCAGGGTCTCCCAGCCGCTGGCCAGGGCTGCAGCTGGACAGCTGTGGGGAGTCCCCGCTGCCCGCCATGTCTGGGCAGCTGCAGGGTCCCGTCCCCCCCACCAGGTTGGGAGCTGCAAGGGCGGGCCTGGCTAGGAACTCCAGCCCCAGGCCAGAAAATGTCAGGGCGGTCAATGGAAGTTACAGATTCCATGACCTCTGTGACATAATCATAGCCTTATTTATAACATATACAAAACTGACACGATCCTTTGCAAACAGAGTACGGATCCTCTGCTCCAATAAGCTTACCATCTAGGCAAGATGAAGACTAATCAAGGGCCAATAGCTCAGATTCAGAAGGAGGTGGAGGTTATTGGTTATGAGAAGTTAGGAAAGGATTTCTGGAATATGTGGATTTGAAGGAGGGGAGACTGTGTTTGACAGACAAGAGTGTAGACTGTTCCAAGCATAGGGAGCGTGTGAGATAAGGCACAGAGCCTAAAGTGGCAGGAGAGGTGAAGAATTACAGAGTATTGAGGGAAAACAGAGAATAAAAGAGGGGGAAATGAGAGCAAGATGTAAATGCATGACCCTGAAGACGACTATAAGAAGCTTGAATTTAATACAGTAAGAGACAGGAAGCCAATGTGTGGATTATAGGAATGATGCAGTCAGAGCAGTAGCAAAGGAAAATTCTTTTAGCAGCAGGGTTTTTCTGGACTGCAGGGGGAAGAGCAAGGAGGCCAGAAGGAGAAAGGTAGTTAAGGCCAAAGTTGGTGAAGGCATGGGAATCAGTTTTAGAAGAGAGGAAAGGGCAGATTCTGGTGATATTAAAAGAGAAGAAATGACAGGATGTAGTGAGGAGATATGATGAGTCAGGGAGGAGAGAGAAGTCAAAGATGACATGGTTATGAACTTGACACAGGTAGGATAGCGGAGTTGTTAATCATGGAAAGAAGGTGTTGGAGAGGAGCGAGGATGGAAGTTCACTTTTGGAAAGAGTGCATTTGTGCTGGGACAGAGGAATGAAGAAATGCGATATAGGCAACTTGAGATTCAATGATGTGTGGAGGGGAAAAAATCAGGTAGAGAAGATTTGGGACTTGTATGTATCAAAGTGGGGCTTGAAACTCAGAGCAGATGAAGTCATGGGGACAGTAAGTGTTAGGGAAGAAAAGAGGTGGCCAATGATGAATTTTAAGGGAGACAAATAGAAAGGAGAGTGGGAAAACACAGAGCACAGAGTTGGGGAAGCCAAGAGGGGACAAAGTAGGGAAGAAAGGTAAACAGTGTGAAAGGCATCAGATAGTTCAGAAAGAACGATGGAGACAGAACCCATGGATTTACCTAGGAGAAGGTCATTCGTGTCCTTGGGCAAGGCAGTTTCAGTGCAGAGGAAAGAGCAGAAGCTAGATGGGAGGAGAGGAGATCAAGGATAAAGTTGAAGAGGGATGTAGATGCAGCCTGACTAGATACTGCACTCAGTATATGGAGGCAAGACAGAGTGAAGGTAGAATCAAATTTTCTCCACCTTTCTCCCCCAAGATGGGGAGGGGAGGGAAACAAAAGCATGCTTCAAAGCACAAAGGAAGGGGAGGGTGGAGAGTGAGCTATTAGAAATAAAGGAGAGAATCAAAAGAAGTTTTGGGTGTAGGAACATATCGAAAGGACAAATTGAGGGGTTAGGAGCAGATAGAAGGGAGACCTCAGACTTGGAAACTGCTACAGAGGAGGAGAGGAAGGAAAGAGTTTGACACTATTAGGAAAATGCATTCCATAGCAACCTGCATGTAGCTGTAAGGTGAAGACAAAATTAACTAGCAGCAACCTTTTTTTGCTTGAGGCAAACAATTTAGACTCTTCTCTGAAGGAGGAGAAGTGTAGGCAAATATTATGGTTGTTTACATTTTCCTAATGATAAAATGAATAAGAAAGTCAAAGTCACTTAGCTCCTCTTCCCTGCCTGCTTATATGTCTGTCTCTTGTAAGGCAGACACAACCTGCCCATTTTTTATAATTAGCAGTTGGAAGTCCCTTCAAGCTGCTAGTCATGCTAACTTAATGAATAGATACCACTAATTAATTCCCTTCCTTGAAAGAGGCAAGATTTCCTGCCAAGCCCCAACTGTAGGCCTTGTCTATTCCAGTTTGACTAAATTAATAATTAAACCAGTGCAAACCCTCTAATGTAGATTCACATAAACCAGTTTGACCATCCCTTAAATCAGTTTAGCTTGACTGATTTAAAATCAATTTATTAAACCTGTGCAACTTTTCCTGTTTAGATAAGGTTTTACCCTTGTAAGTTTTCCAAATTCCTTTAACCATCAGCCCACATGGATTTATAGATAGAGGAGCACTTCCCAAACCTCTAAAATATATGGAGTAGCCATTTATGATGTCATCAGGACAACAGTAGTGGGCAAAAGTTAATCCCTCCATGCTCCACCGATTTTCCACCTGAAAAAATATGGATTGAGCAGACATCAATGGCACCTCACACAGAACCAACATGAGGGATATCCTGGTGGTGGCGATTGTACTCCTCAACACTGTTTTGAGTGAAGATAGGCTATTCTGTCCATGCGTAACATAACTGTGTAGTGAACATGCATGTCTTCTCTGGTATGCTTTGGATAACGCAAGCTTCTGCAGAGCCAACTTTTGCATGACTGCCACTTACTTCTTTAACGTAAGTTAGTGTCCCATCCCATCTATTTAAAAATTTTAAAACAAATTACATAAGATTATTAAAACACAACACAAAACTTTAACTAAAACCCAATTAAGATTGCTGTGTAGCAATGTACTTAACTATTCTGTCCTTTTACATAACTGAAGCACTTATAAAAGACTTGAATAGTTGAAGCATTTTATGTCTTAGTCTGCCCACATTATACTTTATAAAACGTATTTGTTTATGAAGCGCCTGTTTCATCATCATACAACCTTAACTTTGATCCAAAATTAACAGTATTCTTTCATAGTCAATGCAGCAAATTCTTCTGAGACAAACAGGATAAGTCTCTTGGTTCCATCATTTTAAGAGCACTATTAACACTAGATCATATTGGACCTTAAAAAAGGATATTGGGTGTGGAACATGATAGTGGCCATTCTGGGAACTGTGCCAGCTGACTTGGGGCAAGGGGCTGATTAATTGCAGTGCAGATGTTCGGGCTTGGACTGCAGCCTGCGCCCTACAACCCTGAGAGGTGGGAGGGTCCCAGACCTCAGACTGCAGCCCAAGCCCAAACACCTACCTCACAATTGAACAGCCCCAAGTCAGCTCGGAGAGTTCAAGCCCCACGAGCTTGAGTCAGTTGACATGGGCAAGCCACAGGTATCGAATTTCAGTGTAGACATACCCTTTATGTTAAGAACCTGAATTAATATATGCTGAACAAAGATGATGGTAAAGGTCGAAGTGTCAGGTAATTTATTGCTCTGAAGGAGAGTACATTTTCTAGCACTCCATTATGCAAAAAGTACATTTCATTCTCACAAATTACTTAGGCACTTTGTTGATAAACATTCCAATGACTTTTTTTTCAAACAACCTTTTGGGGCCAATCCCCAGTGAAATCAATGGCAAAATTCCATTAATTTCAGTGGGAGATCAGGGCCTTTACCAGCAAATTCCAATCTGTATAGATAATATCCCACCATATAATTCCTTTCCTCTCTAATATAATATATACCCTATTGAACCAGACTTTAGAACTGTATTAGACAACAGAAATCCTAACTACTGTAGAACCAAGATAGGAAAATAAATCCAGCAAAAGATATAGGTTTAAAAAGTATGTACTTATAAATTAGATCTAAAATTTATACCTCAGATTAATTTTTGTCTGTGGCAATAACAATTTTAGGAACACTAAAAAGCTCAGGAAACTCAGAAATTTAAATTGGAAAAAAAAAACTTATAGCAAACAAGAAGTGAAACAAAATAGGCTTATCTGATCTTCTCGCTGCAAAAAAAAAATAATGCAGCTGCAGCAATCCCTTGCTATTATTTTCTGTTGTCTCCTGACCAATCCCCTTTTCTGCCATGGTCTCTTCATTGTCAGTCTAATATAGATTGTAAACTCCTCAGGGCAGAACTTACGGCTTCTAATTGGCTTGGAAAGGACCCTGTACACACATGGTTTTAAACAAATATATCTGTTGTTTTACTGTAAGTGAAATTAACTTCTGGAACAGTGATTCATTTTTTAAAATGTGAGCGCGTGAAGATTCTGGGGTTAGCGGGAGCTTCTAGTTCCATGCAGCTACTTTTTATGTCAATTTAGAAGCAGCTTTGATGGATTCTAAAGCCACTCCTAACCAGCTCTCCTCAAACAGGAGATTGCAACAATGGGCTGACTTAAGGATGGTGAATTGCCTTGCATACTTTTGCTAATTTGGACTGATAATATAGTCAAAGGATAAAAGCTTTTAAAGTCAATGCATCAGTAGTCACCATGAAAGTATATATCAGTCCTAGTGTAAAAAGCAAAGGTAACAATTGATATTACTTGAATATACTAACACTGGATATACAAGTGCCTGGACTAGTACCATAAAACAAACAATGTATTTCAAAAGGCAAATATTGGAGGCTTTGAGGCTAAAAATAACCAAACTATTACTATCAAGGTGTGAGTGTGTTGTATCACTATCTATACTCTAGCAAGTGTAAAGCTGTTACCATATGATGGCTGTTCAGTGGCCAACAAGAAATGCGTAAGTGGTCTCGGCTAAACTTGCAGTGAAGAAACGTCCACAATTCACAGGTGCCAGCATAATTCTCAATACCAGGCATCCTTGCTGGCAGACTTGGCATAGAGGCCCAGGATTAAATAGACAGGGGGATTAGTCAGGCATTGGCAGGGTAGTACAGAGTAGTTTGCCCTGCACTGGGGCGAGATGACTTGCTGTCCTTGCTGCTGCCAATACAACAACTGTCATAAGCAACAAATTAAGGTTTATAAAAATGGACTGTCAGTCCAGTGCTGGCACACTATATGCTGTCAAAGTTCAAACTCAGCTGCTCCAGTCAGCCTACTAGATAATACTTAGTCCTGCCTTGAGTGCAGGGGACTGGACTAGATGACCTCTCGAGGTCCCTTTCAGTCCTATGATTCTATGATAGTGCTAAAGTTCTGTTAGCACTGAAATAGTTAATATTGATATTTAAACTGTCATCTTTGAGGTAATAACCCACTGAGATGACTGAGGCCATTCAAACCTCAGTTGTTGTTTTTCTGCTGGTTGCAAAGACACGAAGTTCTTGTTTTCTACACAACCATTGCAGATACAGACTTTTTTTTTTTTTTTTTTAAATAAAAGCTTAAATTGGAGCCCAGCTCTGTGGTGAGAGATCGGGTCTGCAGTAAAGAGTGTGGCCACAGAATACATAGGAAGAGTTCCTTGTGTTATGCTGTAGCAACCTCTCTAGATGTGTGCTAGATGGATTTTAAGGGGAGGGAAATAGGGAACATGGTGTGAAGTGGAAGGAAAACAGAAAATTTCATGGCTTTCTACTCTAACTGAAAGTGTGACCAGTCTCATACCATCGACAGAATGGGGAAAAACGGTAGTGTCATTCTAGAAGAGGCACATTTGAAATCTGATAGATTATAATCTGTCTAGATGTTAAAAAAAGTACTTACAATTCCCAGGCAAAAAAAAAGTGTCTGAATAAACAACTTCTATCTCTCAAGAAAGCATTTTGTTTCCTATTCTTGATTGCTGGGGTTTCCATTTCTCTTGATAAGCCACACCTCATTGTGTCTATTAAGCAATTTAAAAGGGCTGTCATAGCCAGCAGTATAATAGACCTTTTCATCAAACACTTTCCCATCCCGCTTCAAACTTTCTGCTAGTGTCAGTAGTTCTTCTTGGTTCTTTGTGGCACTGGAATATCCTCCAAAGGACCTGTCAATAATAATAAACAGCACGAGAACATGAAGAAATCTTATCACTGATAAATCTAAGCTTGTTCTCTATACTGCTCGTCTAAATCCAGCATGGGTCAGCAGTGATCTTTTGAAACCATATAGTTCAACCCTTTCAGGGACTGTTCCCTACAGCCTGTTTTCTAGTACTTTGTCCAGTTCCGTTTGTTTCAAATGATGAAGCTTCTGCAACTTCCTTTAAGATAATTTCACAGTAACAGACTTTACCAATGGGAAAATGGGGTATCTTCAGGCCTGTATGAGAGCTGTTCTTCTTGGTGCAAAACTAGTAAAATGTATGACCACATGCACTTGTAAAGAGTGTTGTCTTGATGTCCTGAGAGTGCCACTGTGAAAAGCAAAATTCCAAGGAATGTGGTTTGAACACCCTGGATTAATGGTCAAGAACAGGGATGGACAGATGGGACACTTTCCCCAGCACTCATTTAGATTTTCTTTTTCAGGAGTTTGTAACGATGGAAAAATACTACCTGAAGCTTACATGGAAAATGAAGTTAGTTACTTTATGCTTGAAAGTTAACTTTGTCTAAGAACAGCTTGTTTTGGTTTAGATTTGGCAGTGGGGAAATTCATCAATTAACATTTTGCTGTATACCTGAACATATATTCTTAACTGTTTTAAAAGTACAGTGTTTTTTCCAATCCCATGTCTTTCATGATGTTTTCATTAATATACAGTAAAATATAAAACATTTTAAAAAAATGCAAGATGATCTCCATCTAGGGATGTTCAACAAAATATTTTCAGGACATGTGACTTCTGTATACTAATTATACTTACTGGGCTCATGTGAAAAAGGTATGAGGATAGAGATTTCGATTGAATTACAGGCTAGTACAGTGGTCCCCAAACTGTGGGGCATGTCATGGAGGAACGTTCGGGGGGGGAGGGCAGAGTGCAGGGGGGGCCCTGGGCTAGTCCCCATGTGGGGGTGGGGAGAAAGCGCCTCCCAGCTCTGCTTCAGCCCTGATCCCATTTGCAGCCTTAGTTCCCGGCTGCAGCTCCACATCCGGCCACAGATCCCACTGTGGCCCAGCAGGGGCGCTGCTCCTGGCCCCAGCCTCAGCTCTGCTCCCAGCCCCAGCCTCACTCCCAGCTGTGGTCCGCTCCTGGCCCCAGCCTTGCCCCTAGCCTTGGCCCCTAGCTGCAGCTCCATTCCTGGCCCTGCTCCTGGCCTCAGACCTACCTCCAGCTGCGGCCCCAGCCTTGGCTCCCTTACTCCTGTCTGTGCCCCACTCCCAGCCCCAGCTCCCGGGGGGTAGGGGTGGACACGGGTATGGGGGGGCACGACCATGAAAAGTTTGGGGACCCCGTTGCTAGTATAAAGTAAATTACTCATTCAATAAAGCATGTGCATGCACCATGTTATTCATCAACTGACTGCCACAAGGTGGCAGCCACAGTTTAGCTGAAGAATATCACATTGAGTTGCTGTATTTTTACAAAAAGTGTCAGGACTACCTCTTCTTTTGAGAACTAAAAACATTTTTGATCATGTATAAGCTGCATTGTGCACACAGATTTATTATCTGTACTTTGCAGAGTTGCAATAGTTAGTTAATACATACCTGACAAACACAATCATTTCTGGTCTGTTTTCAATGAAAATATCTGACTCTGATGGCTTAGGTGGATCAGCTTGATGATCAGATGGTATATAAAAAGAGACTGTAATAGTGGACTCGCAGAATGGGCCTGCACCAGGTTCCACATGGCATGTTACTGGAGCTGTCATCTCTATCTTCATCCCTATCAGAGGCAAATAAGCAACAGTTCACTGCTCTGTCACAAATCTCAGGTCAAATAATGTAGTGTGTCAAGAAAGAGAGCACATTGGTGGCTTTATCAAAGGTTGCCTTTGATTTATATTTAATAAAAGGTAGTTTTAATTCATATGTGTTTCTTCTATTGTTGCATTGTATTTGGATTATCTTGCCTGCCTGTAACAATTCTTAAAGAAAATGCATAATGGCAAATTTCTGCTCGTATGCAGCAGATCCCTTTGTTTCGATTGTTAACATTCCACTACCACAGACCAAACCTCTTAAGCCTTGTCTATGCTTGCAGCAGCATGTAAGGTACATACAGCTAACTGCCGCAGTGATAGGTAGACTGCATCCCCACTGTGAAAGGCTCTGGCAGAGGGAAGGCAGCAGTGAAAGGCTCCTGCACCTTTCTCCACTGCCTCCCTCTGCCGGACCCTTTCCCCACTGCTGGAGCCTTTCTCTGGGGCAGGGAAAAGCTCTGGCAGTGGCGAGGCAGCAGGATCTACACTGCTAAAAACAGCAGTGTATACAGGGGAGGCACTGCTTGGGTGTGCAGAGAACCATATAGGGTACGTAGCCTAAGGCTTTTGGTGCGTATATACTCACCTAAGCAGTGTCTCACCATCTACACTGCTATTTAAACCTGACTGGGGGTTGTGCAACGTCTATACATGCTGCTGTATGTCTACACTGCAGCTGGAAGCAAACCTCCGGCCCAGGCAAATACTTGAGCTATCATACTAAAAATAATTGTGTCAACGTTGTGGCTCTGGTGCAGGCTTGGGTCCCCCTAGGCTTGAGCTCAGTCCACGTGATGACAGGAGCCACAATGTCCACACTGCTATTTTTAGCAGGCTAGTGTCAGCCTCTCTATCCAGGCTGGGAGGCTCACGCCCAGCTGCAGTGTATACATACCCATAGTCTTGGACTATTCAGTACTTGCTATCAAGAGGTTATCGTGCAGACAGCTTTTTTTTTAAAAACTCAAAATTGAAAAAAAAATTATGCAGTACAAAACCACAATGAAGCCTAACTTTTTTTTTCAGACCACAATCAAGTAGTTTTAGGTTCAAAATTTATTAACTTAAAATTAACTCATAATTTGGTAGGAAATGCCCTGTGCACTCTGGCTGTTTTATAAAAATCAACTGCAGCTGCCCTAAAAGTGAGCACCACCAGCTATATCTGACTTTTGTATAGGTTCTGGGCTGCAGAGCAAAATAATTTGTAACTGTGTACCAAAATAAACTACATGTCAATCACTGATGAATGCCCCAAAATAACAGTGGGGAAGAGGAACATTAAGCACATCAGTGGTTTCAAACTAATTTCCAGGTTCTAAAGTCACATGAGCAGCTCCCATAGCTTTGATGTATCAATATGCAGTGGGCTGGAACACTTCAGCATCTGCTGAAACCAGCCTACTAGAGAGGAGGGGTTTAGCTATTTTGTTTTCAGTTATAAAGGCCTGGGTGTGGGGAGGTTCTCTCTCCAGGGGGTATAAGAGTTTTGAGAAATATCACTGTGATGAGGTGCCCCCCCCCCCCCCCAAGGGCTGAAGGGGTTGAAGTGGCTAGGCAGGCCAATTAACTGCCCAGGCTGCACCTGAAGGAGACAGGGAGCAGGCCACTCAGTGGAAATGGGCTCAGCTGGGCAGGAACAGGAGGGGCCTGTATAAAGCCCAAGAGCTGTAAGCACCAAGGGGTTTGTAAGGCCGTAATCTACTATCATTCCTGGGAGGAGGATAGGTAAACCCAGAAAGAGCAGGAAGTTAGATAGGTAGGCAGAAGCCCAGGGGAAACAGCAGCAAGGGATAGGACTGTACAGACCTTGGCTTTTGTTATAGGGTCCCTGGGCTTGAACCCAATGTAGAGAGTAGGGCAGGGTTCCCCTACCAGCCACTGTGAAGTCACTACTTGGAGATGACAGCTGGTCTGGAAGGATTTTAAATTGCCCAGAAGGGGAGGGCCTTAGTGACCTGGCTGAAGGACCAACCCATGAACAGAAAGCTGCAGCTTCAGGAGTGATAGGGGCTGCAGGATGAAAGAAACCAGGCAGAGACAGGGCCAGCACTTGGCAAGAGGTAGTCACCAGGAGGAGATGCCACTAGCAGTGAGTACACTTTGTGATTATCACCTTATATCTTCAAGAAAGACACTTACCTTCCTCCACCTTGGGCCCCTATTCTAGTGGAACACTGTGGGTATTGTGAATGGCATGATAAGTGGCTTTGAAAGGGCTTTTGAAGTGGAGGAGTGGGGAAGAAGATAGGGTAAATTTAGAAGCATTAATGTGCTGAATGCTTCTCTTCCCTGCTGTTAGGAGTATTCAGGATGGGGTTTTTTTGTTGACTTTTTATAAAAGCCATAAGCTTGTCTCCTCTCAGCTATCCTGACTTATAAAAGGACAAACTACTATGTTGGCTTTTATGCCTTAGGACAGTGGTTCCCAAACTCTTGTATTGATGACCTCTTTTACACAACAAGCTTCTGAGTGCAACCCCCCCCCTTATAAATTAAAAACACATTTTAAGCAGCTTGCTATACAAAAAAAGACAAATGATATAATCAAGACAGAATAGAGGGAGAGTAATTGGGATTTACTACTAACACTTTTACTCAGAATTATCCAATAATGCCAACAAATATTTCTTTTGGAAAAAATTACAATTGTTAGTGCATGTGATGGGGTGTCTACCCCACACAAGGCCTGAAGAGGTAAGACAGGCCAATTAACTTTATTAGGCTGCACCTGGAAGGAAGCCAGGGACTGATGATGACTAATGGCTGATGAAGCCCAGTTGGGGGAGGAGCTGGGCTAGGCTTATAAAGAGGGGAAGCTGATAGTTAGAGATAGCTACAAGGAGGAGCTCTGCAGTCACTGTCTAAAGAAGGGTGTTGGCAAGAGATAGAGGCAGTTTAGGGAGACATTTAAACCTAGGATCCTGCCATGGACTACAGAATCTGACCAGACTGCAGGGTGGGGTGAAGTAGCCACAGAGCAAGGGGAAGTAAACTAGGAAAGAGTCCAGGGAAATAGCAACAAGGTCAGAGCATGAGTGGACCATGGCTGCTAGGCAGAGGATCCCTGGGCCTGAACCTGGAGCAGTGGTTATGCCTGGGTTCTCCTGCTGGCCACTGAGAAAGTGGCATTTACTGGGCAGTGGATCAGAAGACTGAGACAGTTTGTCCAGTGCATCTTTGTTACCTTGGAAGGGAAGGAGAAGACTACAGTAACCTGGCCAGAGGGCCAAGTCCCCAAGGAGTAACCTGTTTCTACTGAGAGACACCATAGGGCGAGCAAACAAAAGGGGTATCAGACCGGGCAGAGCTAATCCCCAGACACTACTACAAGGAGGTGCTCAGTGATAAGTAAACCTCATGAAAGGGCATAACATGTTTAAAATGCTTTGTCACTTGTTTACTTTTTTCAATAGCTTAAAATACAAAGAGATTCAGCAATCAATCAGAAGCCAAGCTTATAAGAGATAGGAGCCCCTGGTAGTATTAAGGATATTTAGTATTTGATCTATTCCAGATGCCATATTTAAATGCATTAACTTTTCCTATACCCACTACAAAGAGATTTAATAAAGCCAATTTAAATGCTGCTGCTTATTGCAATTTAGGAATAAGGAAGACACTTTGTGTTAAAGTGTTTCCTAAAGTGTACAGTGTGCATCCACCTGGGTGGAGTGAGGGACTGTTTGCAAGATGGGTATGCAGAAAGACCAACTGTCCTCCAGAGTCTTTTAAAAAACACAAAAAACCTCACTGTTATCACTTTCAAAACTAGAGTTTTAGTTAACTAATACAGAGACTAATCCCGGAGTCTGCACAGAGCCTGAAACAGTGGCTGCTAACACAGGTGCTACTTTAATTGTTCATATTAACTATTTCACTGCTCAAAGCAGACAGAAGCACTAGCATTCCCAAAGTCAGGTGTGGAAGCAGCACAAAAGACTAGTGGAGATGTATGGATTAAGAGAGGTGCCATCACATAGTAGGGTTCCTTAGTGACGGGACTGGCTTTCTTTTCCTGAAAGAGGGCTCAGCTTTCAAAAGTTTAGAAACACTGAATTATTGAAAAGTATAGTCCAGAGCATCTTACCTTTCTCATTCTTGCCCTGAATATAGTTAAAGAGCTTCATGAAGCCAGTGCTGACAGCTGAATCATAGTCCATTGATTTAACAGGAGTTGCAACCCATTTAGCTGGTTCATACTGCCGGACTTCATAATCTGAAGCCTATAAACAACCAGAAAAAACAAAACTATCAAGAATAGCGCTTCACATGGGCATCAGAGCATAAGTGATTTAGGCATTCACAGAAACCGAACTTCATTTTTACAACATAGGCTTAGCACTGGTATTTCTTTCCTTATCTAATTAACTTTTTTAAAGGAGGAGGAGTATTAACCAGCCTGACATTGCTGGAGAAAATGATTAGGTACTAGATAGTACGAAGAGAGAGCCCAATTATTGCTCAAAGCTTGGAACAGTGTTGCAGGTCAAAACATGAAGTTTATAATTTTTTTTTTTAAAGTCAGGAAATATATGCAAGCTTTTCTGTGTTGATTTATCCAAGTTGCACATTACTGTAATGTGCAAGAACACAAAGGGAATAAAGTAGTGATTCTCAAACTGGGGTTGCCGCTTGTGTAGGGAAAGCCCCTGGCCGGCTGGGCCGTTTAGTTTGCCTGCCCCGTCCGCATGTCTGGCCCATCGCGGCTCCTACTGGCCGCGGTTCGCTGCTCCGGGACAATGGGAGCTGCTGGAAGTGGAGCGGGCCGAGGGATGTACTGGCCGCCGCCTCCAGCAGCTCCCATTGGCCTGCAGTGGCAAGCCGCGATCGGCCAGACCTGTGGACGGGGCAGGTAAACAACCAGCCTGGCCCACCAGGGGCTTTCCCTATACAAGCGGGGACCCCAGTTTGAGAAACACTGGAATCAAGCAGGGGTTCTCAAACTTTTGTACTGGTGACCCTTTTAACATAGCAAGCTTCTGTGTGAGACCTTCTCTTTTCTCTTCTTCCCTTCCCCCCCAATTAAAAACACTTTTAAAAATATATTTTACACCATTATAAATGCTGGAGACAAAGCAGGGTTTGGGGTGGAGGCTGACAGCTCACGATCCCCCATGTAATACCCTCATGACCCCCAGTTTGAGAACCTCTGGAATAAAGCTTATTTACTATTATAACTAAAACCCAAGATTACCATAATTGTAATCTTCCTTTATTTTAGTCTGACAGCACTTTGTGAAGAAAAATAAAGAATAAATTCCCCTGGTGGTTTGTGTGGGGCTTTGACTCAGTCAAAGAAGAAAAATTATTTAAAAAAAAAAAAAGTACTGTAAAGTCACAACCTGAAACTTCTAACTTAAAGGAACACCACCATTTTTTTTAAAAAAAACAGTAATGTAGTCTAGTGTGCCATGTGAGTAAGTCAAAGAAACAGTATGAGGTTAATCACTTTTTGGGGGGGGGGGAATTCACTTACAGATACCATTAATATATTGGATCAGAAATTCAAATTTTTTTTTTTTTTTGGTGACCCACATCTTACGATAGTACCTCTCATGGCTCACTTCCCCTCATAAATACCTGGACCACGTCTGATGACAACTGCAATGATTACTTATATTCCAAAGTAACCTATTTGACATAAAGCTTTCTGCTATTAATCAGCCAGTCCACTGTGACAGCCATAGTTTTCAGTGGACGACACATTAGTTTGACAGTCTCTGCCTTACACTATTAATGTGGTTTCAGAGTAGCAGCCGTGTTAGTCTGTATCCGCAAAAAGAACAGGAGTACTTGTGGCACCTTAGAGACTAACAAATTTATTTGAGCATAAGCTTTCATGGGCTACAGCCCACTTCATCGGATGCATAGAATGGAACACACAGAGAGAAGAGATTTATACATACAGAGAACATGAAAAGGTGGGAGTAGCCATACCAACTGTAATGTGCAAAACCTTAAACAATCTAAGGCTGTGATCTCACAAATACGTGCACACATGCATAACTTTTCTCATTGAAGTAGTCATTTTATCTTCAGTGGGACTACTCCTACAAGTGTTTGGAGGACCAGAGCTTAATTTACTTCACATCAGGAACTCTGGGAGATTTGGTGCAATTCCTATACTGCTCACTGACTTCCCATATTCCATTGGGCAAATCACTTAATGTCTCTGCCCCTTAGTTCTTCTTATCTGTAGAACAGGTTTAGTACTGCTGTACCTTACAGGGATATTGAAGATAAATTCATTAATATTTGAGGTTCTCAGAGCTTGTACAGAAGAACAGTTAGTGCATGGCACGTGGGGCTGTAAAACTAGCTTGCTATGTGTTAACTTTGTGCTAACTCACTGTCTGTGCGGACCCTGCTGCTGCACACCAAAAACACCCTAGTATGCTTTGATCTACACTGATCTACTCATGTTTCATAGCAATGTGCACTAGGGAACTTCTAATGCACAGCAAGAGGGTTCACATGGACACTTAGTGCATGGTATGCTACTGCAAGGTAGATTTACATGCCAGTCTGCTGTGCACTAACTGTTCATCTTCTAGACAAGTTTTCAGACATTACAATAATGGGAAACAATACAAGTACTTAGATACTGTATATTTTTGTTGACCAAACTGCAACACAATATAAATTCCCCAATTTCATCTTTTCCAACTCTAGTTAGCAAAAGGTTGTCACAGTGGGATTGCAAATCCAGAGCAAAGGAAGTGTAAATCAACTATTTTATTTGCCTTTACAAGAATTCCATAGAAGTAGGTCTACTGATTTTTAGGTTTAGGAAACCTCTGTTTTCACAATTTTGATTATAACCCTAAATCAACCTGTGTACTTAATGTGGCTACAGCAACCTTAAGTTCTGCATTTATTTGCATTTTATTTTAAACATACAAGATTTTTACCTTTAGATTAGTTTTCTGTATCTTATTTGATCCTAGGGGAATAGCTAGCTAGTCTGGACACCATGGAGAGTATTGGTTTGCATGGCTCCACTTGCGGGTGGAAACAAACACCCCAGAACTATAGTATTGCATAAAAAAATTGTTATGCAAGTCACCATGTCCTAGCTACTGCAAAAACCTACTTACTGCACTGTGGTATCTTGTACCTCTCTAGTGAGCAGGAAATAACTAAAATTCCTGTCCAAGTTGACTTCTGCACGCCCCCATTGCCCCCCATTTTCCACAATGATTCTCCCAAGCTGAAGATGAGCCATTTAGCCCATTATGATCCGCTTGTCTCATCTTTTATAGAACACAGCCCACAGAACGTCAACTGTTCTAGCAACTTGAAGTCCTGCAGTTTGATTTTTATTTTTTTATCCAAACTTATTTCCCCTGCTCTCTGAAGCACTAGGGCTTAAGTGCTTCAACTCAAGCTCCCTGCCATGCCCCCTCGTTTGCTGAGACCTAAGCCGAATATTTTTTGACCAGAAAGGAAGGCAGATAAAATGAGTGAGCAAGGGGGTGTTCTAGCCCAGGCAGCAGGGGCCCCTCTCCTTTTTGCTAAGAGGAATTTCACCTGGCTTGGTACCGCTGTCCACTTGGGCAGCTTCAGCCCGGAGGCGAGAGCTTGTTTGTTGGGCTTCAGCATCCTGGGGAAATTAAAGCAGAGCGAAGTTAGTAGGGCGTCCTCTAGCCCCTCTCCCCTGGAGACCCATCTGCAGTGGGGCACTCAGCCCCCTGTGCACCTCACCCACCCAGCCAGCCGCGGTGGGAGGGCTGGGGTTAGCCCAGCATCTCTTCTCTTCCCCCATCATCCCGGGGGCCGGGCCGGGCCAGCCCAGCACCGTCTCTCTTCCTCACCTGCCTCAGTAGCTTCCACCCAAACGCGCCGCCCTGTCCTTCCCCAGCGGACTCCCCTAGGGAAGCACAAACCTCTGTGTGTCGGAGCCTGCCAGCTGCTTGGGGGCGGGCCAGGCGGCGAGGTTTCATAACCCCCGGAGGCTGGGCACACCCCCCGCACGGCGGGGATCGGCCCCTTGCCCCAGCATGCTGCCCCAGCCCCCTCCCCCTGCTCCGGGAAGGCGGCGCAATTCGCCCGCCCACCCCTGCCGTGCAAGCGGCTAGAAGCCCCGGGACCGGCTACGAACGGCCCTTCCCTCAGCCATGCGCACTGCGCCGCCCGGGGGCTCGCACGGGAGACACTCCCCGGGGGCTCCAGCCGCTTCCTGCCCCCGCTTTTCCAGGCAGCCCTGAGCGCGGTGGCTCGGAGTTATGCAAGCTCCGGCCTGCACGGGGATAAGCCGGGTGGGTGGATCCAAGGGCCGGGCCAAACGGAGTGAAGGTGGCGGTGCGAGCCTGCTGTGTCCCTCCCCGCGGGGCCGTGCAGCACCTGCCAGTCACTGGGCGCGTTATGAAATTGGGGTGGGGGGGCTGTAAAGGAGCCTGACTCGCACAGCAAAATCCCCCCTCGCTGCAGCAGGGCGAGAGATTAAACGGCGGCTTTACTACCATGCGCGGAAACAGGCCACCTGTTGGGGTTACCCTGAGCATTAGTAACGGGAGGATTTCCGAGCCGGGCTGACGCTTGTACAGAGCTGCGCCTGTTCCGGGGAGACTGGGCGTGTGGGGTTCTCTAGCGAGCTCCACCACCTTCACTGGAAATCACACCCGGTGAGATCTCAAAACCAAGTCCCCACAGACCTTCCAACCCCAGGCTGGGCACCCTTCTGACTGTAATGTAAAAAGTCCGTAATGGCCTCTATGGCAGCCTTTCAAATCAGAATTAATCATTATCTGGCTATTTAGGCGTTCCAGAGCCATTCAAGTTCATCCCAAGTGAGTGAGGTCTGGGCAGATACTACATCACTTAGGAACAACAATTTGTATCTGTACACATCTCTCCCAGGGACGTGCTGCCTGGGGTTGCCAACTTTCTAACCGGAACATCCTAGCCCCGCCCCTTCCCAGGCCTCACCCCCACTCACTGCATTCCCTTTCCCCCACCCTCACTCACTTTCACTCAGCTGGGGCAGGGGGTTGGGGTATGAGAGGGGGTGAGGGGTCCAGCTGGGGTGCAGGCTCTTGGGTGGGACTGAGGGATTTGGAGTGTGGGAGGGAGCTGATTATTTGTGGGGGGACACTGCTTGCCCACATTGTGCATGTCCCTGAACTCTCCTATGGAAGAGCTAGCTAACTCATAGCTGGTGGTTTGGAAGGGGGAATCCCTCTCTCAGGCAAGGTTAAAGGTAATGAGAAGAGGAAGAACATTTCTAAAATGATGTATAAATAAACCCTACCGTTTCCTCATGTTACAACAGCTGCTGTATTTAGGGATGGGAAACCAAAATTCTTAGAATAGGGCTTGCCAGCTCTCCTTGATCTAGTGTAAAACACGGGATTATACCTTCCTAATTTACAGGGATGCTGAGAGGCTAAATTAATTCCAATAAAATACTTTGAGTTTGATGGAAGGTGGTATAGAATTGCAGAATATTATCTTGATGGTGAAAGATTTTAAACACATGAATAGTATTTGAGATTATGTATGTGCATGGAACCAACTATTGTTGAACCATTACTTTGAGTCTCCTGCATTTAAAATGTCACCAAAATGATGTATTAAGCTAAAGCTAAATTAATTCTAGTTATAACCTCACTGAAGTCAAAGGGTGAACTGGCCTAAGGATGAACTTAATGTTTTGTATTTAGTTCATCATAGCTTTCGTCAGCATATTTTCATGGTTGTCAATCAAGATTTATGTTCAGGTATTAGCTCTAATGTTTTTCTGGGAATTAACTAAGAAGCCTTACGTAAGGCCCACCTAACCCGTTTCAGAAGGATTAATTTATACTGCACCCTTTTCCTTGGGGGCAGATTGAAAAGCAATGATTGATATAGCTCTCCCTTCTCTTGCGATCAGATGTAAACTAAGGAAAAAATGGGCTACTCTTCATGTGGCTTTATTCTCTTGGCTTGTATGTTACCTCAGACAACAGACAAACATGTTGAAGAAAATACTGTAATAAAACGTACAGTGTAGCCTAATAAATGCACATTCTTTAAGCACGGAGTGGAATGTTTGGCATCAGTAGCTCTTTCAGGACAATTTCACTTCTATGGATACATAGGCAAACATTTAATACAGTTGGTCAGGTTATTGCGCCTTGGTACAGACAACATGTATTTCTTTTGTCAAGGTTATTTCTTTAATAGATACTGACATTTACTCAGTAATAATACTCGTATTATTACATACATTTGTTTTGCTGCACATGTAACAAGTTCTGTGGGCAAGTATTGGTTGGGGTAGGTTACACTGTTCCTAAAGGAAATGCTTATGTGTAGTTGGACAATGTTACTGTAACTTATGAAAAATACTTTGATAGTTTTGTTTATTAAGTGGGGATATAACATTTTTAAAAAAGCTTTAAGGACGCTGTGTTGAAGGCACAGATATGGGGTAAAGAGGTTCGTGGGGAGTTATTAGTGTTTAGCACCACTGGAAATCCAACCTTAAGTGTCTCAAGTTAGGCATTCAAAAGAAGAGGTAGTCAAATTAGTGGGAAATTTGGATCTTAATTTCTCTGTGCCTCTCTTTGCATACCTTTAAAACTGAAACAGTTATGCCTAATATACAGGGGTGGGGTGAGGTTTGATTTCTCAGTGTTTATAAGGTGCGTTAAGATCCACAGATGGAAGCTGCTATAGCAGTGTAGAATACACCTCTATCTCGATATAACGCTGTCCTCGGGAGCCAAAAAATCTTACCGCGTTATAGGTGAAACCACCTTATTTCGAACTTGCTTCGATCTGCCGGAGCGTGCAGCCCCACCCCCCTGGAGCACTGCTTTACCGCGTTATATCCAAATTCGTGTTATATCGGGGTAGAGGTGTACTAGTTTATTATTATAAGAGTATTTCTCCTGTGCTTATCCAATATTATCTAGTTATCAACAGGAAGAAAGAAAGAAGAATAACTTTAAAATAGTGTATGCTTATATCCGGTAATTGTGATGGTGCCTCTTCTGTCCACTTTCCAGTAGACAGACAAACACCACTACCCCAGGGGGCAGGGCACTGGCAGCCTTTTTGGAATTCTCAGCAGATCAGCCAAAGACTGAATGGACCTAGAGACTCAATTGCCACCTTACCCCTACAAGAGGACTGAGCTATTAATATTGAGAGAGCTTCATTCTCCAGAAGTCTCAAGGCAGAACCTTTGATAAGCACTACAGTATTATATATTCAGTGGCAAAAAAACCCACTACCTACGTTAAACGTAGAGTTAAGGTTGCTTGGTGATATGTTGTCCCCTTGCAGAAGGTTGAGCTGAGCTAAACCGAAACAGGAAATGCAGAGTAAGGTTGCACATGCAACTTTAACTCTGCCCTCTTTCAGCACTGCCTCAATATTCCCCATTAAAACACACACCTTTACTCTGCCAACCCCAAGTTACTGAAATGTAGGAACTCTTCACCACCTCCTTTTACAACCCATTCATTCTCCCTCAGAGGAATTCAGCTAACAAAATTAAAGTTGACCACGGTGCCTTCCCTCTGTTCCCCTGGAGCTGGTAGGAGCCAATGGGAATTATTTGCATATGCTCCAGGTGCAGTCAGAGTGTTAGGTGTGCCAATACAAGGCAGTGGAGGCAGTTGTTGGCCCTGCTTTGTAAAGGTATGTTTGTGATATAACCACATGTATGGATTACTTTGAGATGTGTGACCGTTTTAAAATAAGTATTAAGTTTATGCAAATGTGTTTAGTGTTTAGACTTTATGAAATGCTTATAAATTGCTGCAAGCATTAATCATTTATAATATCTGTATAAGATAATACTTAAGTCTTGGTTTGTTCTAAAACTGTAAAGCCATCAGGCAGGAGAGAAGCATTAACAAGTGTAAAAACACCTCCTGTGGTAAACTAGTATATCTCCTGCCCAACAAAAGAAGGCCCATAGACACCAGACAAATCATTGTAGAAGATCAGAGGACAAGGGACTTTGATTGCTCCCCCCATACCCATAAAGAGGAGATCTGCATGGGGACTTGTCCCATTAGCTTGAACTCTAAGAAAATAAAAGGAAGAAAATAAAAATTCCTGACAGAAAGAAACTGTACCTCTATGCTGCTTGGACTTGGAGAGGGCAAGATTTCTAAGCATAAGCAAGAGATCCCTAGCTGCGTAGCCTGAGTTAGCCCTACAGGACATATAGAGCTTGCATATTACAGCAGCCTCTTACCTTTTGGAACCTAGGACTGTAACTCATTTGTGTGTATGTTTACCTGCTTTAACATTGTAAAAAATTTCATTTCTTTTCTCAGTTAATAAATCTTTAGTTTATTATAGGTTTGGCTAGAAGTAGGGCTGTCAAACTATTAAAAAAATTAATTGCGATTAATGGTGATATTTTAAAAAAATGATTAATTGCACTGTTAAACGATAATAGAATACCATTTATTTAAATATTTTTGGATGTTTTCTACATTCTCAAATATATTGATTTCAATTACAACACAAAATACAAAATGTACAATGCTCACTTTATATTATTTTTGATTACAGATATTTGCATTGTAAAAAAGAAACAAAATAAATAGTTGTGATGGTATCCGCGGGGTGCAACCTGGGATTGTGGGACCACTGTGCCCCCTTCTTACTACCTTGGGCTGTCTCTCACCATGCCCTACTGGTGGTAAGCAGCAAACCACTCTGGGGTTCCGTCCGCCGGCTCCTGCCATCCGGGGTCCTAGCTGCCAGCCCCGCTCAGCCCGCTGCCATCCGGGGTCCCAGCTGCCAGCTCCGCTCAGCCTCCTGCCAGCCTGGGTGAACGGAACCCCAGGCCGGCGGATGGAACCCTGGGTGAACAGAACCCCAGACTGTTCACCCAGGCCGCCAGGAGGCTGAGCGGAGCCGCCGGCTGGCAGTGGGCTGACCGGGGCCAGCGGCTGGGACCCCAGCTGCTGGTCTGGGGTTCTGTCCGCCGGCTCCTGCCAGCCGGGATCCCGGCCGCCAGCCCCGCTCAGCCCGCTGCTGGCTGAGTGAACGGAAC